ATTACGTTGGTGTGCTGCTTTGACCAGCGAGTATGCTCTTAGAAGGGAAGGCGTGTATGCACGGTGCCATGGATGAAAGATTCGCGTGGTGGGTGGGGGTATCCGGCGTGTTTGGAGGAGAGGTAGGGGACGTGCTTGTGTGAGGCTCGTGGGTTGTTCCGTTTGTGGCGGGTGGTCCTTGCGCCATCTGGTGTAATCATATTTGGCGTTGGCGTCGAGTGCTGTGTTGTTCAGAAAGTATGGCCTTAGAAGTGAAGGCATGTATGCGCAGTGGACTGTGTTGTAGATATGGGTGGAGAGGAAGGGTCTCCGCAGTATTTTGAGGTGAGGTTGGGGAGGTGAGTGCGTGAGCACCGTGGGTTGCGCAGTTTGTGTGGACTGGTGCACGGTGCTGGCGCTGCGCAGCCTTTCTTCGCGTTGCGCAATGTAATGGGTGTGCAGCGAGTATGCCTCTAGAAGAGAGAGCATGCATGCGCAGTGTAGTGGGTGGTAGGCATGCGTGGTGTCTAGAGGTATGCGCTGCATCGTGAGAGAAGCTAGGGTAGGAGCGTGTGTGTGTGTAGGGGCTGTTGTGCAGTTTGTGGGGGGATGCTTCGAGCCGCAGTGTGGCGAAGGCGCGTATCTGCCGTTGCGTTGGGGCACTGTTATGTCCAGCAAGTATGCCCATAGAGAGGTTTGCATGTATGCACAGTGCGCTGAGGGGTTGGGAGACGCGGCGGATAGGCTTCTGCTCAGTATTTGGATGGGAGGTGTGCGAGGTGGGTGTGTGAGCATCGTGGGTTGTGGAGGTTGTGTGGGTGGGTCTAGAGCTGCGCCTTGCGAGATCATATATTCCTTTCGGTCGCTCGCTGCCCTGGAAAGGAAGTATGCCGTTTGAAGAAGAGCTATGTATTACCAGTGTGGGCGGTGTATATGCATGTTTGGTAGGGGTCGCTGCAGTGTTTGCAGCGGGGGTGGGCCGGGTGACTGTGTTAGTTTTGTGGGTTGGGCAGTTTTCAGCAACAGCGGCTCGCATTGTACGGTCCGGCTGGTTTGAGGATGAATTTATATTGTGAACTGTGCAACAGTAAAGACAGAGAAATGGCAATTAACTGGGAACCCGGAAGAGACTTGCCTTTGTGTGGTTTTGTGCTAGATTTTAAGCAGTGGATCGCAGGTGTCTAGCCTTCACGACAGGCCCACGTTTGTGCCAGCGGTGGTTGGGCTTTTTGCGAAAAGGGGAAGAGACAAAAGCTTCATGTTCTCTACCGGACGCTCCGTCGTTAAGTTTTGGTTTTTATTGCCATCAGAAGTGCCAAGCAGTTGCGGGCCGCAGTCTTGGCCGCCGATGCTCAGCAGCTTGCACCACCCGTGCACCTGACCAGCAGCATCTCACGCGTCATGCCTGAAAGATGGGGAGGTACAACATGGGCAGCTTGCTAACGGTTGAATGGGCGTATCCGTCCGGTTGGATGTCTATGGCCGATGGTACGAACAGCGAGCTAGGCGGTAGCAGAGAAAGAGGCCAGCAGCCGATTAGGTGTGGTTGGGCGAGACGTGGAAAGCCGCCTGGGTATCCCGCTACGCGAACAAGATTACGAACAGGGTGGGCTGTCTAGGAAAACTAGAGCACGAACGCTATAGTTCCGATCAAGTGGAGGCGTCAAGCAAAAATATAAATGATGAATCGTGGAGAGGAAAACTCCGAGAAAAAGCATCAGGTTTGTCTACTTGGCTTGGTCTTTAGAGTGCGCCAAAAGAATTGTCAGCGGTTGGTGCACGTAACCATTAAGCTAGGGGGAACGGACTAGTTACAAGGTCTCTCTCTACTCAGTATGAGAGTCACTACATTGTGTTACTTCGGTGCATCGAGAAGAGCGAACGCTTAGGTTGGCTGAGGGATGGAGGGAAAATTGCTGCGTCAGGGGACTCGTATGCTATCTTAGAAGACGTCCTTGATTTTGCGTGAAGGTGCCGTAGCACTGGCAGCAGTGCGGAACGTGTAAGACCTGCAAGCATCGGGCTCAAACGCAAAAGCGAAAATAATTTGTGTTTGTTTGTCGAGGGACAGTGCAACAGGTGTGCAGCAAAAGGTGGATGATTAGGTGTTGAACGGGAGAGTTGTGGGTGGTTGCAGTGCGTTGGAAGGAAGGATGCGTGTCAGAACCTGTCAGACCGTTTTGGGTTTTTTCATGATAGCAGCGCAGGTTGCAGAGTGGTCTGCGCGTGAGTAACGAGGGATGCCAGGTTCTGACATCTGGGTAGACTGTCTGGATAGGCGTGGGTACGGCTGCGCAGGGGCAAGGGTGGGCGTAGGTCGCGAAATGGCAAGCCGTCCAGCAGAGCGATAAGCTATTTGAGGAAGCACTGGGGCGCTTGGCAGCAGGCAGCATCGGCATTTAGCTGTCGCACTGCGTTTGCGGTTGGCAACAGACGTTGAGAGTGGTGTTGCAGATTCTGTTGACTTCTGTCGGGATTTGGAGTGCGTGGTGTTCGCACCTGCCGTAGACGCATGTGCGAACGGTTGCGTTCTTGAGGTGATGGCTCTGCAGAGACGTAATGTGCTGCATGAGTTCTACAGAGCGTGAACGTGAGGACAGAGCGTCACTTTGGTGCATCACGAACGACCTGCGCTAGTGTGGGTGGGGTGGGGTTCGGGTGTGGGCGGGTGAAACTTAACTGGATACGCTGGCGGGATTCGCATGTTAATTCAGCAGGTGTGTTTTGCCTGCCGGCGCAGGTACAGGAGCACTCATCATAGTGCGGCCATGTGTGCGCTTGTAATATAGTGGACCTAGGCAGCAAAGCACTGTTGTGCATGCCTTGTATCTGCGACGCTGAAGCTAGGGGTGAGTGCCTGGGGGGGTGCGACGGCGTTTGGCGAATGGCACCGAGTTGCCTGTGGCTTGCGTGTGCCGTGCCCACGGTTCCCATGAGCCACGCCCGCCATTCCAACAGCTACGGATATGCGACGGACGGCGTGCCAGCACTAGGCGAAGCATTTTGTTCGCAGGAGAGCGCTACACGTGATGGGTGATTGTATAGATGCGTGATGAGCGCATGTGAACTGGGCAACTGTTGACTGTGTAGTGCAGAGTGGCGTTTAACAAGGGTTATGCGCATTGCAAACATCTTTAGAGGCCTTAATGACGCTGACAGTCGTTTCTTGACGTATTCGGAAAGTGTGGCGGGCACCATAAGTGGTTGATTGCTTTACGAACGCGAGGAGCCATGAATGTGTTTGCAGTATTTCCGTTCTCGACCTTCGGGGTTCGAGGCCACTGCGGTGAGACGGCAGCTGGTGCCAGATGTGCCGGGACTTTCTGAATGCTGAGCAAGTGCCTGGCGGCCGTGTTGGGAGTTCACAAGCAGAGCGAAGAGCGAAAACATTCATCGGCTGCATTGGCGTATTGCGGACACCAACATTGGCGAAAGTTCCAGGGGAGAGTGTAACGTCGCCTCGGTCTAGTTTGCGCCTTGCGTGAATCCGCGCAGGTGAGCACTGGAATCATGCGCAAGGAGACTAAAATTCGGGAAGATTTATTTTCGCAAACAAGCTTTAGAACAGTGTAGCAGGCACCAAACAGATCGTCATTGAGACGCACAGCGGGGGTGCTGTTAGTGGTTGTAGCATGTTAGGAAGGAAGGGTGCCCTGCGCACTTATTGGCTTTTCGGCGTCACTCCTGGAAAGCAGCGGAGCACGGTACGTCTGCGCCATGTGCGCAGCAAGGGATTGAAAGGTCCTGCCTGCATGCGGGCAGCGAGGGATTGCAGGTCGTGTCTACGTGCGGGTTGCCTAGCTGGACCGTTGTGGCGGCGGCGGCACAGTGTGAATGGCGTGACGGCGGCTCGACGGGCTGCAGCCAGTGAGCTCATGATAGGCCATTCGAAAGGGCTGACGATGCTTGTGGAGACATGGGCGCTCTGGAAACAACGAATGGTCGGGGGTGGCAGCGTGGTGCACCCCTGTGTGGAGGGGTGTAGTGTTGGGTCGCTGGGGTGTCAGTAGCACGCGCAACGCCGGTGTTGCGGTGTGTGTCTGGTCTCTCGCTACCCCTTTAGAGGAAACAACTGCATACGTTGTACGCTTTCCAGTAGAGTGGTTGGTAGGGGTGGTTGCCGTTGGGTTGGCACACAATGGTGGTGGGACTGGCTGATGGGGGCATCTGAGAAGTTGAGGAGAGGCGGGTAAGCCAGGGGCAGCGAAAGACAAACCTAAGCGCATCTGATTATTTCGTTTGCATTAGGAAGTGCGCATGATTACCTGCTTTCCTGCGAATGTGTCCGGTACGAGTGGTTGAGAATGGCGTTACAGGTTGTGTCGATCGGGTTTTCTCTGGTCTCGCAGTGTGTAGATGACTGCATCACCTGTCTACGCATTTATGTAAGCCCTGATACTCCAGGGGGTGGCTTGGCAGAGAAGGCAGTTTTGGTATGAATCCTACAAACCACTGACGCCAGGGCACAGCGTTACTTCTGCGCGCTGTGAAGGGCACGTGTTAGCTAGTGTTGGTTGGGTGTTACGTGTAAGGGCGTGAAACGGAAATTGCTAGATTGGCATGGTTCGCACGTTGATCCAGAAGGTGTGTTGTCTATGCCCGTGAAGGCGCAGGAGCGATATGTGCAGTGCGGCGGTAGGTTTGATTGACGCTGAATGGGCAACAAAAACGAGCCGTAAAAGTGCGGCTTATGATTTGCTGGAGGATCGACGAGGCAGCGAGGCAGCACGGGACACGCTCGGAGACCATCAGGAGTTGCCGAAGGGGGAGGGCAAAGTGGTCTCGGTACGGGTTGATGTAAATGTTAATTTCCTCAGAAGGTAAGAGCTGCATGCATTGGGTTGAAGGGCGAACACGAGAACAACTTCTGTTTGTTTCTCGAAGGACAGTGTGGGAGGCCTCCAACATATCGTGGATGATTAGGTGTTGAGTGGGGGAGTTGTGGTGGTTGCAGTATGTTGGAAAGAAGAATATCCGACAGAACAATATGGTTAGTCTCTGGCAGCAGTACAGGATGCAGCGTGGTCTGTGCGTGAGCAGCGACTGGTGCCAGGTTTTGTCTTTGAAGCGCATATGTAGCGCATCCAGTTCGGGATTGATATGCATTGAAAAGCTTTATCCTTCTCGACTGATCGTAGGCGAGTTCGTTCTAATACCAAGAATCTGCGTGCATCAGGCGGGCCGGTGCAATGGTGTGCATCTAAGAGTAGTGGTAGTGCAGCTGGATTCACATGGAAAATTCGCGCGAGCACGCAGCGCAAGTGTGGACTCAATCAGTCCGTCTCCGAGTGCATTACATGCTTCCTGCGCGCAAGGTACATTTATTTTTGGTACCGGCGGCGCTAAGTAAGGCAGCGAACGAAATATATGACAGCTCTTTGTAAATCCTGCCAGGCATTGGCAAGCGCATGCCAAAAGCAGACGTAGTGGAACCTTTGAGGAAGAAGTTAAGTAGCGACATATGGCTAGCATTTGCCTTCATGGTTTTAATTGGCTTTGCAGTGAGTTGACATCGGACACTTTAGCAGAAGGAGTAGCCGCGAACAGGTTTTTGCCGGCGGTATAGCCCCAGTGATTTGCCTCTGTTTGGCTTTTGCGAAGCGCGGTACTGGAGTGTAGAATGCCAGCTCTACTGACTCCGGAGTGCCTTCATTTAGTCTTTTGCGGAGCTGCGCCGATCGGTGCATGAGTCTATGTAAGTGGGGCATGCGCAGATGAGGCCTGCAGGATGCAGTATACAGCACAGCAAGCAGAGCGCACCTCCCTCCCGGTCACGTCACACAAGAGAATGCACATCTTCGTACACGTGAAACCATCTTTTTTGTACCTTTTTATCACATTGTTGAAGGCTTTAGAAACCGTCCTGGAGTGGAATAGCACTCATCGACAGCAAAGGATGGCCGGCGGGCGCACGCGTAGGTATCTTGCTTTACCATTGCCAAGGTAAATCACCCGGAGCGTAAATACTCACGGACTACAAGCGAGCCCCGCACGCCATGCAAAGCGGTAAAGTTTCGTGGACAAGACTGGACGCATGGGCACGCCACGGATGCCCCTTGAAGGTGAGTCATAAGAGCAGCGGTGCAGCGCCATTTCAACTTGCAAACCCGGTTGCAACAGCATTGTAAGTTTGGCGATTGTGTTTTCATGGGCGTCACGCAAGCAGCGCCCATAACGTTGGTTTGTCGTCTAGCTGGTGGGTCCATCTCGACGTTTCTGCCAACAGTAGCAGGGAAGCCTTACAGGCGAAAGGGCTAGGCGAGTCCTGCATTGGCTCCTCATATGTCGCCGGG